AGAAGTGACATGCTATATAAAAACATAGGATTAGGCCCCCCCCCCCCCCCCCCCCCCCCCCCCCCCCCCCCCCCCCCCCCCCCCCCCCCCCCCCCCCCCCCCCCCCCCCCCCCCCCCCCCCCCCCCCCCCCCCCCCCCCCCCCCCCCCCCCCCCCCCCCCCCCCCCCCCCCCCCCCCCCCCCCCCCCCCCCCCCCCCCCCCCCCCCCCCCCCCCCCCCCCCCCCCCCCCCCCCCCCCCCCCCCCCCCCCCCCCCCCCCCCCCCCCCCCCCCCCCCCCCCCCCCCCCCCCCACCCCCCCCCCCCCCCCCCCCCCCCCCCCCCCCCCCCCCCCCCCCCCCTCCCCCCCCACCCTTTTCAAAACCTTATATCTCAGTAAGATACTACTTCGTTATATTCATTCTGTCTGTTTACACTTCTTAAATTAGTAGTATTTATATTTTTTTCAAAATTGCCAGCACTGGATGCATGTTTATTTTAAAAGCTTCAGCAGTTTTTAAAAAACCCCACCCCCCCCCCCCCCCCCCCCCCCCCCCGGTGGCAGTGTCTGACTAACAGTCCTTTCTCCTCTTCTCATTAAATTTACTTTTTAGCTCCCTTTACATATTGTTATATAAAAAATTCCTGAACCTGCCCAACTAAAGAGATGCTCTCTTTTACATAGGTCATGAATTATAAGCTGTACAGACATGTGGCAGATGTGTGGCAGGCTTAGATTATATATTCACGGAAAAGCACTCGCGCATAAGTGGATGTTAGTGAAATTGCTAGGTCTCATACTCACTTGAGCAGAGGTTCAGTTGAGCTCAGACACTAGTGAGTGTCATCAGGCTGCTGCTCACACACTTCCTACTGGTTTGAGTTTTGCTATCTTATGCCATTAATGCATCTAAGACTAAATAATAAGTTTGATCTACAAAACTGTTTTTAGTTAGTAAATGCGCATAGGATAAGGGAGAAAAATTACTAACAAAATTACTGATGTATGGCCACAAGCTATCCTCAGCTACGTCACTTGTACTTCTTTTCAGTGCCTCTTCTAATCTACACCCCTCCATATTACCTTGTCAGTACAATGGGAGGAAGGAGTAATGTTGTCTTATTCACATCTCAATTATAAAGAGTTTTTATGAGAAAATGGATTTAATTAAGGAATATTTTATTTATCCCTATTTAGTGTGTAAGTGTGACCAATATTTTCAAAAATGTTTTCAGCATTCTCTTCACTGTATTTAACTCAGGTTATTAGCAAAATTTTGATGGAAAATAAGAAAAAATGTTTGAGTTAGATAACAGGTAAGAAAGCTTAGGGAATGAATGGATTTGTCAGTTAAAAAACAGGTAGGGGGTTAGTTGATGGGGAAGCTGAGGTATTGGGTAGATGGCGGAAATATTTTGAGGAATCTTAAATGTCGATGAAGAAAGGGGGCAGTAATTTCATGCAATGGCCAGGGAGGTATAACATCTTTTAGGAGAGAAGAGCTGGAAGTGGTGGGTGGGGGAGGTGTGTGAGGCTTTACATAGAATGAAAGGGGGTAAGGCAGCTGGAAACTGATTGAGATTATGTGAAGAAATGTTAAAAGCAGGGGGGGATGATATAGTGTGTTGGGAGTGGTCGGTATTTTTGTTAATAAAGTATGACAAGAGGGGAAGATTACCTAGGGATGGCAGAGAGCATGTTTAGTTCTTTGATATAAAGGGAGGGGGACTCAAAAGAGTATCGTAAAATATAGGGGAATTAAGTTTACTGAGTATATCAGGAAAAGTGTATGGAGGAAATTATTATTGAAAGAATTAGGGGGAAGAAGAGAGTAGGATTGCAGATGGCAGGGCTTTAGAGTGGGTAGGCGAATGTTATTGATCAAGTGTTTACATTGAAGCATATATGTGAACGTATTTAGATAAAGGTAGGAAGTTTTTATTGCATTTATGGATTTAGAAATGGATATGATAAGAGTGGATAGGTGAGCAATGTGGCAGTTGATGCAATATATAGAATAGGTAGTAGTTCTAATGCTGTAAAGAGTTTTTATGAGGATCAGTGGGCTCAGGTTAGGGTGTGTAGATAGAGAGGGAGAATACTTACCGGTAAGAAGTAGGATCTTAGACAGGGTGTGTATGTCACCATGGTTGTTTGAATATTATTTTTATAGATGGGGTTGTAAAAGAGTCAATGCTGGGTGTTGGGAAGTGGGTGGGATTAAATTATGGGGAATAAAATACAAAAATGGAGTTGACACGTTACTTTTTGCTGATGATACTGTTTTATGGGAGATTCTAAGAAAAGTTGCAAGGTTAGTGGGACAGTTTTGGGAGGGGTGTAAAGGTGGAAAGTTGAATGAACATGATTAGGTCAGGTGATGAGGTATCAAATGATTTAGATAAGAAAAAATTGGGTATCACATTGGAGAGAAGGAGAATGGAAGTAGTCAATGTTTTCAGATATTTGGAGTGATGTGTCAGCAGATGGGTTTATGAAGGATGAGTTTAACCACAAATCTGATGGAGGAAAAAAGGTGAGTGGTGCATTGAGGTATATGTGGAGACTGCTTGACACATCCAACAATGAAGTAGGAGTATACATCAGACCATGCAGAGAAGAATCTTTCCATTTGGGTTCAAGAACACAATAATGCTTGCAACCAAGATGGACTCATAAAAACAAACGATAGAATCATTCAATAACTCTGCATGTTCTTCATCAACTGCCCGTAACAGCAATTAGTAGGACCTCCGCATTCGCCTGACTATCACCATGATGTGCATTCTCCACTATCATGCATGGACTTTTCTGTTTTATCTTATCTAAACCTACCCGGCGAGATGGAACCTGCGGTCAGAGAGTCTCAAACCTCAGCCCGTCGCGTTAGCCCACTTGACCAGCTAGCCACAATAAGATTAGTCAAACTAGGTATATTTCTACACCATAGGAAGGTTCGCACAGGCACCACTGTGACCACAAATGCAAGTTTTTACAGACGAAGCTCCAGCTAGCGTGCCGTGACGAACTCTAGCTCAAGTCCTTCACGCCGTCATACAGGACTCACGAATTCTAATGACACGGAATTGCAACAAACCATACCCGGCCGGGATTGAACCGCGGTCAGAGTCTCAAACTCCAGCCCGTCGCAGTAGCCACTTGACCAGCTAGCCACATTAGATTCGTCCAACTAGGGGATATTCTACACATAGGAAGGTTAGCACAGGGCACTCTGTGACCACAAATGCAGTAGTGGCTAACGCGACGGGCTGGAGTTTTGAGACCTTCCTCTGACCGCGGGTTCAATTCCGGCCGGGGTATGGTTTGTTTGCCAATCGTGTCATTACGTTTCGTGAGTCTTGTTATCTTATATCTTTTGGAGTGACAAGGTCTGGAACTGAAATGTATCCAATAAGACATTAAGTGTTAAACACTTGTTCTTTTCAAAACCCATACTGTGGTTATCATATTCCTGTACCTTAAGAAAAGTTACTGATCATGTTGATTGAACATACAAAGAAAAGGTGCTCCACTTAATGCCCTCATGCTATAGAGAAAAAATACTGCAGGTAAAAGTGAAACAGTAAAGATCATACAGAATACATGTAGCACTTTAACACACTGCCATCAACTACTGACATCTCTGCCACAGTTACTCACATTAACAGAACACAGGTCACCAGTTTGCCACAGTAGCTCTCTCACACATTTACAAATAAGTACCCCCGCAACAGATTTTAGTAGGGAAACATGGGGGAGAGGTACCACACACGGCATGCATCTCACTCCCCAGGATAGGAATTCTTAAACAATCGTCTGCATTTTTCCTTTCATTTCTGCCATTGCGTACTGCATTGATATTACAGAATTGTATAAACACCTTTCCTATCAATTTTCTTGATATATTATTTAAAGAAAATACTGTATTAATAAATGTAGCCCTTTAAAAGAAAGCTATATAAGGAGATTAAAGAAATTATAAAAACTTCTCAGCAAATAAACTTATAGAAAAAACAAAAAACAATAAAATATGAGAAGTAAGCAAATAGAAGAGTATGAAAAAGGATTAAAAGTGGGTGCTCCTTGAAAATTCTAAAATTATAACAAGAGAAATGAATACCTTTTCATACAGTGTTTCTGGGTTGGCCTCCCCTTCCCCTTAACCCTTTCAGGGTCCCCAGGCCCTCTCCCAGAGTTGTTCTCAGGGTTGCCCAAATTTCAAAAAAAAAAAAGAAATTATTTTCTCTTATGAAAAGATTGAGAAATCTTTTCCCATTCTTACGACATGATTTTTTGATGGAAACTGCGGGGAATTATGCTCTCGCGAAGTTAGCGGTCTCGATGACTGTTTTCGCATCGGCGATTTTGCCACGTTGAAGCTATTTTTGACCATTTCCAGAGTACTAGTCGCAGATATCCTAAACTTTTTGCTAGAACTCATTTTTTCTATCGAATGAGTACAAGAAACCACCCTTTACCAATTTCAAAACTATCCAATACAGTGGGTCAGAATTTAGCATTTTGCCAAGTTCCACACGAATTTCAAAAGATGCAAATTTCCCAATAGGAGTCCAGATAAACAAGAATGGACATTCCTAGCACTAAAAAATACATTTTCTTATGGTCATTAGTCATGTCCCATGCCCTCTTACATTCTTTTGCTTTTCACCTTGAATTTTTGTTCTCAAAAAAAAAAAAAAAAATAGAAAGATTTACTGTTATGCAGATTACCGCATTACGTGTTGAAATAGTATAATTAATATCGGCGTACTTGTGTAAAGATATTTGATCATAGTTGAGTGTATTGGACGCTTAGCATGATTTGTTTACTTTTGAACTTTGGTAAAATTGAAACCATTTCTGTACTTTGAGCTCATTTCAAGGTACTTTTCATTGTAAAAACCCCAGTCACAAAAATCTTCTACATTTTCTGTAATATGTCTTGCATTCTATAAAATGAGACGGAAAACTAGAATACAACCAAAAAAAAAAAAAAAAAAAAGTTAATACCATACGAAAAATACAGTGCAAAGTCGCTGTTTTAATCCAAAAACACGGTCAAAGTTTTTTTTTCTGATTATGCACTGTGTGCTGCAGGACTTTTTTTTATACTGCACACACTGACCACATAGATCCATTCTTTCATATGTAGGCCTACCAGCTTTCTCTCACTTGATTTGAGGGCGCTAGAATTTAGGCGTACTAGTACGTCAAAAACCCTGGTGCGTAAGCCGTACTAGTTCGTCCGAAACCCTGAAAGGGTTAAAGGAGGGTGCCTCTGCCAGTGAATGATTTAATCCAAAAAATTGTAACTACCACTTTTCCCTTTCCCTAGATCAAACCTGATTAACTAGGTGCTGAATGACTCCTATGGATGCAGCACTTTCTATGAATAAAATAACCAATTTTCTGTGCTTAAAAAATATGGAATGCCTATATCAACATGTAGAAATCATATGAATTATTCTTTTGTTAGTCATGACAATGTTACATATAATTTATGATGCTCAAACCTCAGTGCAAATGCTTCATTTTCTCTCCCTACCTTTAACAAAGTTGCTCATCACAACTCATCAGTACGATAAAAATATGAGTAAATATATCAAAATTTTTAACCCTTATAACTAGTTTTACATCACCTGTTTGAGTTGCATCTTTAATTAAATCTTAAAATAATGTTTGATGTTAAAATGGTATACAGTACAGCAAAGTTTCATCAACTAAGGCAATACAAGATGTGGTAGTTTCCAAAATTTTAAGGCAGTCTATGACAATTTTTTTTTACAGTCTGGTATTCGGAATTTAGCTATTAGGATCATATTCAAAGCAATCAAAGGGAATTTGACCATTTCTCCGACCATTCCTGCAGCTTGTGGAATATCGATATCTTTGGAGTAACTTGCAGTGGAAAATCCAGCTCTCCATGACTAAAAACAATAAAGTGATGAAATTTAACTGTTGGGACCAAAAGTTTTTTTCTTAATAATGAAATCCTGTCACTGATGAAAACCATGACTTGTAAAGTTATAAAAAATAAATACACAATGAGGGAATTTGCTTAGCACTAAATTTTCAGTTCTCTTTAACTTTTTTGATGTGGGTGTTGTTAATTTCATCATCAACTGGAGTACATAATATATGAACTGCATAATTACAATGTAATGCATATAGAAGTGGGTGCTAATATTGCAGCTCTCAGTGGCTCAGTAATGTGTTGGGTGCTGTATCTCCTGATAAACATGTCTCTTAATAGGAAATTTAATACTGGTTTTATATTAAGCCAGTCGTCAAAGCTAATGTATTCATTATAAACTTGCACATTAAGAAGAAGAAATAATTCTATTTTAAATATAATGTATAGGCAAATGTTTTCATCATCACATGTTGCCTTTCTCCATCACTGCATTATCTGCACAACTTCAGAATGTTTTCTTTCAACCCTAAAGAGGACCCAAGCTGACTAGCATTTTGAATGTGACCCTAGTAATGAACATTTTGGTCCTAAACAATTAATATGGTAAATCATCTGCATATGGAAATAAATGTTTAAAAGAGTATTTGCTGAATACTCTCCTGTGTTGTTAAATATAAACTGATTCAAATTACAGTAAAACCTCTCGCTAACAAATTTTGTAAATTTCGGAAAAAAAAAAAAAACATATAAGTGCTCTAATTATCTGACAAAAATGGACAAAAGTTTGTAATTCCACACTTTGCCCATAGAGATAGTGCCCAGTTGTCTTCTGAAGTACATACTGGGCCAAATCCACTAACTCCAACATTTGTCTGGTACGGACAAATAAAGAGGAACTTTACAACTCCTGACTCAAAACAGTCATTCTGAGTTACTACTATCAATCAGTGCAGTTTACACCCAATCTCTCCACCATGAGAAACTAAGTAAAATTACTGCAAATTGTGTAGAATACTATAAAATTACTATATAGTACAGTATTATACTGTAGTACTACAAGTTACAATACTTGTATTCTTAGTGTCTCTGGTTGTCTTCTGCATCATTAGACCAAGTCCACTACTTACGAAGACAACTGGGTGATCATGAAATCTTAATTTCATAATTCAGGAGTTGCGGACAACTGGCATTATCGTACACCCCCCTCCTCTCCATTAGTTCATTAATGAGAGATTTCACTGTATCTTGTAGGGAGTAAAAATCAGACTCCAAACAATAAAAGCTTATATGATCCAGCCAAGCGTTTCTTTATGCCAAATTTCATTTGTACCTAGAAAAGTAAGGCTGTCTCTTGGCTTTCTCTTCCTAAAAAAAAAAAAAAACTGAAATTCAGGTCTCATAAAAAGAAGACTTCTAGTTACAGTGTTCACAATTCTCAAGTCTCATATTTATAAACTGATCATGGGCCACATGTTGCATCACTGGTATGCTATGCAGGTACATAAGCAAATACAAAGGCTCATTTCAAATATAAATAAGCTTATTTATACCTTATTACACAGAGTTTGTGCCTTGATACTTGTGGTTACATACTATGATAACTGCAACTGATGGTTCATCTCTAAGCTTCAATTTTTCCATGTCCTTCATTATGATTATTATATGTCTTCTATAATATTGCATATTGAGAATACAGCAGCTCACGAATTTCGTAGTAATCAGAACTCAGTGGGCCTTCTAGGGATATACTGCCGGAGTCTTGCTGTTGGAAAAGTTTGTTTTAATATACATATTTAAGAAAATTGTACAATAAATACATTAAATGATTAAGAGAAAAATTAAATTTAGTAGCACAGTGGTTAAATACAACCTCTCCTCACTTAGCGACATACTCGTTTACCGAAGCCTCAGACTTATGATGGGCTCTCTGGCCAGTATTCATACTGAAATAATGTATATTAGAGCTGATTTCCTGTATTCTGTTTATTTAAATATACAGTACACTACTGTATAAACATTTAAAAATATACCAGAAATGTTATAAATGGTGCAAAGGTGACATTAAAACAATATCAAAGATGGTTGACACAAACTCACTATCATTATAGTACGTATGCTCCTCACTCAGCGATGAATTCATTTAACAACGTGGTCTCAGAAACAAAACTCCGTCGTTAAGAGAGGAGAGGTTGTATAAGGTCTTAATACAGCTGTTGCTGCTTAGGTGGTTTTTCTTTCTGTCCACTTTACCACTGACATATTTTCCCTTTCACTGACAATCAAACCATTCATCTCATTTGATTACTGTATATTTATCAGAAAAGTTGCTTTTCAAATAATTCTACACAGACACAGTGTGTTTTACAAATTTACATTAATGGCTTTCTTTTGTGCCTATTGTATTAATACATTTAAACTACATTATTTGTATGGCATAAGAAATAACCATTATTATATTATTACTCGATACTATTTCTTGAACTTGCAAAATTCTTACATACTGATTACATTTGTGTGTTGTATGATGGGAACCCACATGAAACGTCACATGCATTCACACACAATAACTGCCACACCTCTCTATGTACTTTTTTCTACTCAATTTTGCATCCACTCACCTGTTCTTACTTGCTATGGTGCATATTGCCACATGTTTTCTTATGCATACCTAAATGACCAATTGTCAACTATTTGCAAAAACAAAGACCTAACCTATTTCTGCAATGAATCACTTACTAAAGAAAATGTTGAATTACTTAAACAGCTGATCGAGCAACTGAGTCTGCATGGTCCTTGCCCTAAACATCAGCATATCCAGGGACCTAGCAAAATATGACTTCTTTGTGCTTTCTAGAAATAGGATGAGGGAAGTTAGATTTCTGAATCGCCTATAATGCACTTCGGGAGTAAGAAGCAACTATGAAAGATGAAGTGGATACAGTCACAATGTGGATGATAGCAATGCGAATTTCATATAACTCTGCTGTGAAAATACTAGCTATTTCTAATAAATGACCTTTCATGATTCCTTCAGGAAAAATAACTGTATATCTGACACCATCAGGGGATTTAGAATCATCAGTGACCTCTGTAATAGCACAAGAGTGAAATTGGAAGTTATCAAAAAACATTAACATAATGTTGTAGGAGGCAAGTGAGCTTTTGCACATGCAAGTGGGGGAAGAGCAAAAATGAATCACTGGAACTTCCCAATAAGGAAGAGAAAGGTAAGATGCAGGGTGAATGCAAAAGGGAGGCAAACTAAGGGAATTCAAGCATGGATCTTTGATTGTTTCTACACATGTTGGCTTGCTGTTGCCTCTCCTGATTGCCAGCTTACTGTGTTCTGTTACATGCTTTGCTCTGAGCAGTGTGCACAGATCATCTGCAAACCATTATGGCACACCTTCCTTGGTATCTCCTGTGAGTGGCAGTGTATCTGAAGCTCGCTCAAAACTTGAATTTTGGCTTGCAACTCAAAGCAAAAAATTGACCGAGAGATGGCTCGTAACTCGGAAACTCGTAAGTTAAGGCACTTGTAATAATAACACACAATAATAATCACTCTGAGGCGCATTAAATATCGTATAGAACATTAATATAGACATTTTGCTTAATCCATCTATGATATTTTTTCAAAATTAAATAATAAATTGCTACATAATATATAAACATGATAAATACACCCACAATAGAATAAATTAACATAAATATGAGAGGTTTTTCTAGTCGTCTTGTCGAAGTGTCAGAAAGAATAGTTCAGCACCAAAGAAAATATGTACACAATAGTATTACTGGAGGTAACTGTATAAAATTATTCCTTTTGTATGCCTTCACTCAGAGCGGCATTCATTCCAAAAATGGTGTATTACATGAGAATGGGAGTGTTGCTCTTTATTTATTGTACTGTACCAATGTGGAGACAACTTGTACACAATGTAAGGTGTTTGTATGATGATATAAGCTTTACAATTATGGAAATGAACACGTATCAACCCACCAGCTGCGTTCGTCTGTTTGTTTACATACTCTGCAGCTCTGTCCTCTCTCATTTACTCGTTTTCTCTCTCTCTCTCGTTTATTCGTTTTTATCTCGTTTACTCACCTCTCACGCTACATTAAGACTACAAATATTTTGAGGTAAATAATGAGTGTACTGTACCTGTATGCATTTTATCACTCTAGGGCGCTTTAAATGTCATAGTATATTACGTGTAGGTGGGGTAGCCAGATGGGCTACCATACCTATCACACCTGACTTTCTACAAATACTATTCACCTCTCACCCTACATTATGACCATTATGACTACAAATGTTTTAAGGTAAGTAATGAGTGTACGCTATATGCATTTTATTGCTCTAGGGCGCTTTAAATGTCATAGTACAGTGGTCCCTTGCTTTTCGTAGTTCTCGGCAATCGTAAATTTTGCCAATCATAGGGGTATTTTCGTATAAACGTGGACTCGCTTTTCATAGGTTGACTCGCGAATAGTAGTTCGTCCGGGACGCGTACACACGGTGTGAGCCAAGGCAGCCTCCCTACCCAGCCAGTCTGGCATTGTTTACCAGTGAGTGAAGGTCCCCTCAAGTGCTCCTACGAAATATTTCATAATATTCCACTCATTTTAGTGCTTGCAAGTACTAAATAAGCTACCATGGCTCCAAAGAAAGCTCCTAGTGCCAAGCCTGTGGTAAAAAAGGTGAGAAATATGTACAGTGACAAAGTCTTGGGCCTTTTTAAAGGGGAAGTGTTAAAGAGACGCAGAAACGAGCTCTCTCCACAGTTACTTTGCGGACAGGACTAGAGTGACTCTCAAGGTGGTCCTAGTGGCATTAAGAAACAGAGAAGAGAAGCAACCCCAGAGAAGAAATTGGTACCTGAGGTGTTGTGGAAGGGGGATTCCCTTCCAAACTGAAACAATCCAATCTCTCTCCTCCCCCATTTCTCCCTTACACTAGAAGAATCTCCAATAAAGGTAAGTGTTATGCTGTTAATGTTTCATTCATCATTTTCCTTTGTATTTTTTATGTACTACATGCATTTTTTCATGTAAAAAATGTTTTGTTTTAATACTTCGGGTTTCAGGAACGGATAATTGTATTTACATTATTTCTTATGGGGAAAATTGATTCGCAAATCGTAAATTTTGTTTACAGTAGCTCCTCCAGGAACGGATTAATTACAAAAAACGAGGGACCACTGTATATTATGTGTGGGTGGGGAGGGGTGGCCTGGCTGGCTACCATACCTGACTTCTTACAATAAACACTACTCACCTCTCACCCTATATTAAGACTACAAATATTTTGAGATAAGTAATGAGTGTACTGTGTGTATACAGTGGACCCCCGCATAACGATTTTAATCCGTGCAAGAGGGGTAATTGTTATGCGAAATAATCGGTATGCGAATGAATTTTCCCCATAAGAAATAATGGAAATAAAATTAATCCGTGCAAGACACCCAAAAGTATGAAAAAAAAAATTTTACCACATGAATATCATTTTCCCACACACAAAGAGAAGGATACATGCACAATAGTAGAGTAGTACATGCACAGTATATATTGTGCATGTACTAGTCTACTAAATGAAGAATAAATGACACTTACCTTTTTGAAGATGAAGCAATGACTGATGAGACACTGTGTCCTGGGAGTGCCTTTTCCTCCTGAGTACTGTAGGTCTGTTTGGCATTTTCTTCCAGAACAGGCCCCTTTTCACACTGTGTATGCCACTACGATTCTTAATCTCTCAAACCAACCTTTGTGGCTTTAAATTCACCATATGAGCACTAGTTCCAGGCTTTTTTCCCTGTTCACCTGGGTGTTAGTCGACTTGTGTGGGTTGCATCCTGGGAGACAAAATTTAAGGACCCAATGGAAATAAGTTACAGTCTTCGATGCATGACTTTTTTGGGTTATCCTGGGTGGCAAAATCCTCTGGGGTTAATTGTTTCTTGGTATTCTCAATAAGCCACCCAACAACGGTGCTACAGCTGCAGCAGCAGCAGCTGACGGTGGTACAGCAGCAACAGACGATGCTACAGCAGCAGCAGACGATGCTACAGCAGCAGCAGACGATGCTACAGCAGCAGCAGCAGCTGACGGTGGTACAGCAGCAACAGACGATGCTACAGCAGCAGCAGACGATGCTACAGCAGCAGCAGCAGCTGACGGTGGTACAGCCAAAAAAGACATGCTACCACAACAGACTGTTCAGCGCAGCGCGATGCTACAGCAGCAGCAGGCAGCAGCTGAAGTGCAGCCACAGCAATGACAGTGCAGCAGCAGCAGCAGCTGTACCCCAATAGTAGCGATGGTTTTTTTGGGGGTTATTATACAACCTGGCCAGCTCGGGACACGCCCCCCCAA